CATGACTGAAACCCCAGTTCCCAAAGTCCTCCAGCCACAACAGTGTGAATTCCTCAGGGAGGTGCCAGTCTCATCCTCTTGTAGTTCCCACGCTCTTGCGGTGAGCTAAGAAAATGCTTATCTCCCTGAGCTTGGCCTTCATACTTCCATTCCATCACACTATGAAAGGTTCACCTTCCTTCACCCAAAGCAGAAGTTCACATTCCCTTAAACATCTGCTCAGAATTACTATTTAAGATAATATCCCCACATTGCCCAACTTCCAAACACGTTCCATGAAGTTCTTCCTTATTCTGCTTCTCCAGTACACTCACCACCCCCAATCTGGGGTCTTTGTTAGGAGGACATGAACTTGCCAGAACTTTTTCAGAGTCCTCCCACATCCACGTATATCTACCTGACTGGTTGCTCCTTATTCGGATGGCCTTGGCCTTAGCCAGCTCCAAGGCCGTGACCCACCGCTGCCGCTCCACTTCCGAGCTAGCTTTTAAATGGTACGTCCTTCCTCCGTTAGAAAGGATAATATTGCAAGAATCCTCTGTATCGATGTGAGCCGTGGACAAGTTGATGGTTCCTCGACAGGTGTGGGCCATTTCTGCTTGAGTCCTGCAAAAGCATCAAAGAGAGAATGTAAGGCTCTCACGTAGTTCCTACTGGAAAATACAACTCTCCCAATCATACTTTTCTCAGCCAGAAAAAAGATTCTTTTGCTATCGCACGGGGAAAATCCTTTCCAACCCGGGATCCAGAAACAGGGATCGTCAAATGCTGACTTCCTTTCATGGTGTGTTCCCAGGTTATGGCTTTGGGAATTTTTTTTTTTAATTCTTTTCAACCCAACTGAAGGTTGGAAAGAAACGATCCTGAAAGGTGTCCAGAAGTGCCTAAGTGTACTCTAGCCCAGTGCTTCTCAACCTTGGTAACTTTAAGCTGGCTGGGGAATTCTGGGAGTTGAAGTCCACACAGCTTAAAGTTGCCAAGGTTGAGAAGCACTGCTCTAACCTCTTTTCTCTGGGCAAAAACTGGAATAACCTCTGTTAAGAGCAGCAATGCATATAGACATTTGTAAGTATTGGCTCAAGCTGTGGCACTTGTTTCCATCCAGAATAGTAAAAAAACAAAAAAAAAATGCTATGTTGGACAAAGGCAGGTTCATTTGTCACTTAGTAGACATGCTAGATCTACCCTTCAGCAACTCTTAGCTCATTGCTCTCCACGAGCATCTTGCCATCTCTCCTCTTCTGCTGCAAAGGAAATAATCAAGTAGCAAGTTTGGGCAAGTGAATGGGATTTCAGTGTCCTACCAAGTAATAAGATGTCACCTTGGCTCCCTTCAATTAACAACTCCCCTCACTATAAAAAATATCTACCAGTTCAGAGTTAAAGACTTTTAAGTTGAGTGTGAATGTAGTTGAGGCCGCTGGCCGTTGTTGAAGGCAAGTTTCAAAATATTCCCTACAGTTCACGTCTTTGGGTAGAACAGATGTGAGAGAGGCCTCTTGAATTTGCTTCATCATCCTATTTCTGCAGGGCGTTGGGACCGATGAGAATTGTTATAAAATCAATTTTCTTCTGTGGTCTACTAGGGATAATGTTCCCAGGGCTACTGAGAGATTTACCTGGTTTGCAGCTTCTAGGGAGAAATCTGTTTGTGTTCATGCTTGCAAACACAACGTCAGGTGAACATATATTTGCACCTTGTCCTGACCTGCTTATTTGTATTATTTTATTTTTGTAACTCAGTTTATGATGATGTAAGAGAACAGGTTTCATCTGACACCCCTCTATCCTACATGTGTTAGCCATCTTTTCTGTTTTTCTAATAAAACTGCTTGAGTGTTTCCAAGCTTTCAACAGGAGTTGAGCTCAGTCCAAGGGAGTCTAGTCTTTAATGAAGTTAATTGCTCTATTTTTGTACCTAGTATATTGTGCGCTATCAGAGCATGCTTTGATCTTGTTGATGTAGCTGTGCTGTGGTTCAGATATGAGCTTTAATTTACAAAACTGTCTCCCATCTCGGTGTGTGGTAGCTGTTAACCACCGGACTGGCTGTTTTGTTGATCTCCTCTGTGGTCCTCCTTGGAGCTGACAAACAGACTTTGTTTCAAGGGTGATGTTCAGAGGGATATTTAAGTATTTCCTGCCGAAATGTTTTCATGCCCCACAGTAGTAGTTGAATCTGCCCTTTTAAGCCCTGGGTGTTTTGTTTGCAGCTGCCTTAACTTACTCTGCAGGTGAGTTTCTAGGAATTTATTAGCCTGTTTTAAAAGATTAAAGAGATGTAGCTTAGGGGAATAAAGGACAATTAGGTTTAAAGCCAATATCAACACTATTCTGTGTTGTGTCTGTTTCAGGCAATCCCTATTCTGACAACTGATGTACCATTTAAACAATGGCAGAAAGATGTACCTAAATTTGTATGGCAAGGGAAAAAACCACAAGTTAAATATAAGGTACTACAAGATGCGAAGGAAAGAGCAGCATTGGGCTTACCAGACTTGAAACTATATTTTGCTGCCTGCTGTTCCGTTTGGATGAAAGAAATAGGTGATTGGATTTATAAAGCCATGATCTGAGATTTGGGTGGCATCGATATCTTTGGTATGATAAAGCCAAGGTGAAAGTAGACTTTAAAAATCATTATGTCAGACAGGCTATTCTTAGAGTATGGAATAAATATAAACTTAGATTTTGCCCAAAAACGCCTTTGTGGCTTTCAGTGCAAGAAGCATTTTATAGACGAGAAATGGTAAGTGAACATAAATGGTTAACTGACTGTGATATACTAGAATTCTCTCAAGGGGATTGTAAAATGAAATCAAGAGAAGATTTGACAACAGAAGGGTATTTTTGTCAAAGGTTCTTTTATGTACAATTATCAGAAAGGCTTAAAGTGGATAAAAGATTTTATGGTTTTGAACAATATAAGATTGAGTTTGAAATAGAACTATGTACTAATGATGAACATGTTATTGCTAAAAATGTATAAACTTCTGTTGAAATATGAGCCAGAAGAACAAGTGAAAGAATATATGATAAAATGGGCTAAAAAGTTTGCTGGAAGTGGGGGGGATCTCAAAACAGGCCATGCCCAACTCCATTTCAAGATTGCAACTTCTCAGCAACCCAAGAACAGGCCTTTAAGACATCAGAACGCTTCTGGTGTGATTAGAAGAGGATGCTTCAGGGATGGGCCATTTTTTGACCTTGTTGTAACATTTTGCCCACCTCTGCTTTGATGAGGAGAAATGGCAAAACCTGGAACTCTGGACATTTTCAAAGTGTTTCCTGTTTGCTCTGATCCCATGCTGTGTTGTCCTCTCTCTACAGTAGCACTTTGAAAAATAATAAAGCTTTATGCAAAGATAAAAGTTAAACTATCCTTTGACTCCTGGTGGCTTCAAGAACATGTCCAGTTTCCGGGAAACAGTTTGCTACTGCCTTCTCCCATCTAGCCTTCAGCCCTGAGATTTGCTGGTGTTCCCTCTTCCAATTTCTAATGAGTCCCAACCCTGCTTAGCTCTTGAAGATCAGACAAGGATGGATGAGTATAACAATTAGTTGTGTCTTCATTGTAAGGTGCCTTAGGTCTGTCACTGTAGAAACAGACAGTCTTTTTTTTCCCAGTGGGATCTGTAATGTTGACATTAACATAACTGAAACTGATGGTTGATGTTCATCAACCAGGTTTTTTTTGGTCATAGAACTGCTTCATACTCCCCATTTCAAATACATTTAATTGTGGTTGTTGTTGAAGAACATGAGATTTGGGCTGCATCTTATAACTTTCTTCTTCGTAGTGCCTCTGTGGTTCAGCTGAGTCCTGCATTACTTAATTCAGATAAAAAGAGGTTACCATAGCAATTGCAGGATTTCTTGCTGGGTTATATAACTTCATGGAGGGGGAGCTTTGATCTTCCTCATATGGGCTACCAATTACAAACAACCTACTAAACCTACTTTTATCCCGTTTCCCATTTCAATTTATTTAATCAGGTTTTATCCCACTTCCCATATCCATAATGATATCCTGGTGTTCATTAAAACAACCCTATGAAATACAAAGCAAGTAATAATTTATCAATTAAACAGCTGTATTTAAATGTATTAAACATGAATTCTTATTCTGTCATTTTCTGTCCTTTGATGTGTTGTCAGTCTTTCTCTTGGATGGCTGGTCAAAGTCTTAATACATTTTGTGAAAAGTGATTTCATAGGAAGAGACGAAGCACCAATTTCACACGTTGCCCTACAGCACAGTTTGTTTAATCACAATCGGTTGACACTGGGGTCGTACATCAAACTACGTCTGACAAAACGATATGAATGTCTTATCTCTCCAAGGAAGATGGAAGGGACTGGATCCAGAAGGGCTCTGTGGATTTACAGATTTCAGTGGAACAAGTTGCTGGACCAGGTAGGGCTGCTGAAAAGTTGACCTCCCACCCTGCTCCCCAGTTCCTAAAGAGGGGAGATTCCTGGCAGGGAAACCAGTAGATGCAATGCTGTCTACACAGAGTTAATGGTTGGGTTAATATGGGTGCTGCTGCCAGGCTCAGTGGCAGTGTTTCTCAACCTTGGCAACTTTAAGACGGGTGGACTTCAACTCCCAGAATTCTGGAAGTTCTGGGAGTTGAAGTCCACCCATCTTAAAGTTGCCAAGCTTGAGAAACACTGGATTAGAAGGTGCCTACAGCCTCGACCCCATTGGTCAGCTCCTTGCCTCTGATTCCTGGACTTTCAGCTTTCCTGGGATGACCTCAGGACCCTCTGGTTTGCTTAATCCTTTTGACTCCAAGTTTGTCCTGGTTTCCTGTTTCTCGACCTTGACTCTGGAAATAGCGCTTTCCTCAAACGGATGAGATCTTGAATTCTATATATCCTTGTAAGACTTTTCCTGCTGACTTTAGCCCATAAAACAGACTGTAAATGTGTCTACACAACATTCAGACCCTAAACCACACAAGCCACATTATAGGCTGTACAAACGGGACTGCCATCTACAAGCAGCCTGTGCATCGATCTGGATTCAAAGGGGAGGTGGTGACTTGGAGCGCCCATTGAGTGTGCATGTCTTACTTGTTGGCTCATCTTTTTTTTCCCTGATACTGAGAAATGTCGCTTCCTTAAGGAGGTCCTGCAGGTGCAACAGGAGCACTTCTACATGCTCCAAATCACCTTTCCGACTTGGAATCTGGATTGCTACAAAGTACAGATTCAAAACTGGATTACTACAAAGGAGTCCAGTTGTCTACACTAGTGAACGAGTCAATGGCTTTCCAGCATAACCGAGATTAGTGGAAATGGATTCTGGATCTGAACTTTCTGTGGACAACACCGACCTGCAGCCTTGAAGCTTTGAAGATTTTTCATTGTATTTTGAAGATTAAAATATGAATTTGCTCTTACTGTTTCAAGGGAGAAAGGGCATGGGTTGCATTTTATGACTGTGGGGCTTAGTGACAGAGTTGCCGGTCCCAGTTACCGTTGTTATGCAAGGACTACCTGTACTTATAAGCACATGCATACACATAGTTTACTTTTGCCTTTGGGCTTTTTTGGAAAGACAAAACCATTAGGCCAGTGTTTCTCAACCTTGGCAACTT